TCATGTCATTAGCACCTCTAGTAATATATTTACTGAGAAAATGGTGACGTGTTCAATACTTATTTTACTCACTGTATGTATACATGAAAAGAAAGAAATATGATAAATATTTTTATTCCTCATGTGTTGACCTGTAAGAATATAAATCTGCTGTTTCTAAACCATCAGACAGCTCTTAGTTTGACTCTTCAGCTGRCTGAACTCTGAGACGTTCTGGTTTGTTTTACTTGAAGTTAAATGAAAATATAACAAAGAAACTGAAGCTGGAAAATAAAACAAATCTTCTGCATTAAGCCTAAATTAGGACCTGTAATCTAACATGTTATTCTGACTTTCTTCTGTTCAGGATGGTTCCTGCCAACCACAAGTACTTCCTGCTCAACGACCTGGCGTCGTCTCGGGACTACGAGCTGTGTGTTCTGGCCGTGTACGACGACGGCATCACCACCCTGACGGGCACCAAGCTGGTGGGCTGCGTGTCCTTCACCACGGACTCCGAGTACGGACGCTGCCACTCCATCCGGGACCAGGTCTGTGTTAAAACCAGAGCAGACAGCTTTAAATCATCTCTTTTAAATAAAAACATAAAAGTAAAGTAAGAAGAAAAATGACACTTTATTTTCAGAATGTTATTTTGTAGAAAGCACCAGGTTCTGCTCTCTGACCCGAGCGTTTCCCCCACAGTTCCTGGGCGGCACCATGATCATCATCATCGGCGGGATCATCGTGGCCTCCGTGCTCGTCTTCATCTTCATCCTGCTGATGAAGTACAAGCTCCACAGCAACCACTACAAGCAAAAAGCCGTCGCTCGCCACGCCAACGTCTGCTCGCAGACCAATGGAGGAGGAGGAGGCGGGGCCAACATCCTGGCTCTGCCTCCTTCCTCCTCCTCTGCAGGGCAAGGTAACAAACAGCAAACATCGTAAATATAAAAGATCAAGTCATTTATCCGTTCTGACCCGACTCCAACTCGATGTTTTCCAGTTGTTATTAAAAACTCTCCACCGTCGGRGTCGACAGAAGCGATGGGCGGAGCTTCTCTTCGAGGGACAACTGTAGTAGACTTAAATCCTACTCATGATGATGACACCATTTCCCAATAACACACAAGAAACTGTCGACGCCCTCTAACCTCTAACAACACACAAACTCTTCTTCTTCTTTTTGTTTTCATTTTTTTACTTGTTACTTGTGCCTGGAGACAAACTCACTTTTCCATCATGGAGCAGCTCCGGTTCTTGGTGAGTAGCTTCGCACACACACACATGTGCACACACACGTGCACACACACACACGTGCACACACACACACACACACACACACGTGCACGGTAAACCCTATAAGCAGTTATATTGAGGGTTGTAAACATGACCACACCAGGAGTTCTGCCTCGTCCTGAGCATCTCTGTCTTCCTCGCTTCTCTTCGTCCTCTTTGTTGGMTTTTAATGAGTTGTTTTGTTTTCTTTCCTCTCTCTTCTCCTCTTCTTTGATTTCAGAGCTCAAGGTTGTTTAGTTTGTTGTTTTTCATCACAGCTTTTCCTCTTTATCTCATGATGCTTCTGCTGCCAAATTCCTCCCAAACTGAGGTTTGTTGTCGGTGAGGAGGTATCCTTCAGCGCTCCGGAGGATTCTCTGCCCTTCTCCAGGAGTTTAACGTTAATCAGTTAAACGTTTGATCAAACAAAAGTGACACAAACATATTTTTCCATTGTCTTTGTTTGGAGCAACCAGGGGCGGAGCTACACTTTTTTTGTAGCAAGTGGCACAGGGTTGGCTGAAGTGTTTATTTGGTGGTGGTGGTGGGGGGGGGAGTCACAAGCAATTTTAAAAAATCAAGATGGACGCCACAGTTAATTTAAAACAGCTTTAAATCAGCTGTTTTAAACATTGAGCTGAAAATTTGTGTAATAACTGAAAATGATTGAGCACAATGCTAAATGCTTGTCAAAATTTCAAGCTAACATCTAATGTTAATGTTACAAAGAGAAATATTTTAGACAAAGCTGAAAATTAATGTAGTAGTAGCCATCCATCCATCCATCCATCCATCCATTTTCTTCCGCCTATCCGGTGTCGGGTCGCGGGGGCAGCAGCTTCAGAAGGGAGGCCCAGACCTCTCTCT